TTTCAGGTTTTTATCTTCAACAGTTCCTCAGATGTTGTTCTTCAAACAGACTCAAGTTTCAATGAGAGATAAAACCTGCTGGGCAGCTTTGACAGATTTATCTCAGAAGACGTCTGACGTATAAATCTGGACTTTCACAGATTTATCCCACAAATATCTTCATGAGTGTTTGCGTTCATCAGAAGGCCTCTGAAGGTCCGGTCCTGCAGCGTCCGTGGTGGATCTCTTCTGTCGTTTCCGCCCCGAACAAACAAATGTGCTGCACCCCTGCATCGCCGCTTTGGCTGTTTCCGTGGCGAAATGCAAATCCGCTCCGTCTGCAGTGGGACGTGGTGTCGTTCTGATTCTGTTTGTTCTGCTGCAGCTCGATCCGGCCGCCGCGGACACATGACGGAGCAGAACCCGACGGAGCAGAACCCGATGGAGAGCCACGCCAACGGATCCCTGTGTGAGTCTGTTACACCACAGCCGTCTGGTAACGGACACCAGGCAACGGCAAGACCTCAGCTGGTCTGTGTTAGTTACAAGTCTTAGAAAGTCGTGAACTCAGAGTTCAGCTTCAGCAAATCACCACGAGGCACCAGAGGTCTGAGGCAGGCATCCTAGTGCTGATTCAACACTCGGGTCAGTGGTTCTGTGCTCGGTTTAACATCAAACATACAGAAGCTGATGGTTCATTCGTCACTTTTCTGCTTTTACTTCAGTCACGAGTCGCTCAAAAAATCATTAATGTGTGGAGCTGGTTTAGAGGGTTTTGCTTTAGTGTGTCTGTCGTCTGCTGTTCAGACTCCAGCTCATTGGTCTCCTGATGTTTGTTGGTAGATACGACCAGGACGTGATGTCAGATATGAAACTCACTTAAAATAGTAACTACTGCTGTAAATATGTTGGTGTTTCGTTGTTAAATTGAATTCTGTGTGGTCTGACGTTCTGGTTCAATCAGACCTCCTGTAAAACCAGAAACGTTCTGATTCTGGGCATCAGAGAAGACCAGATGGAGCTCTGCATCTTCAGACACTAAACCAAAGACGACAGCAGCCGAAGCTTCTCCTGCCGAACAGCTTCTTTACAGCTCGTCTTCTCCTAATGTGTCGACTTCAGTAGAAATCACGACCTGCTCCATCACGTACATCCAGAAGCTTAGAGGAGCCGTTTCATTACCTTAGATTTCAGATCATTCTGGTTTCCTTCTTCCTGCTGGACGTCAGGAGATGCATTATTAATGTAGACGTGGTTGGTTCTGAGCGTGAGCAGGTGAAGCCTACGGACCAGCCTCCTCCCGGTTCTCACAATGAAGCTTGTTTCTGACATCAACAGGTGACGACTGTCAGGAGAGGCAGCGACCGGAGACCAGCTCATCTCCTCCATCCTCCTCCTCCTCTTGGTCCTGGTCCTCGGCTGCTGCCTGCCTGTTGGGCTTCATGTGCAGCGCTGCAGCGTTCACAGGTTAAAACCTCCAACGGTCGGAGCTGCACACTTCAATCTGCTGATACTTCCCCGGTTTAGTGTCAGTCAGCTGGACTCCAAAGTGTTGTAATTCTTCTGTTATTCTGCTGTGAAGCTTCAGGAACTTGCAGAGGAACTTCACAGTCTGGTGTCGGGTTTTCCTCATTGGTTTGTGACTTCTTCACTCAGCAGAACGTTGTCGATGCCTTTTGCTTTCCGCCCGTTACTGGGCTGCCCTCAAACAACCGAAACAATGCACCCTGAGTGTCCCGTAAATGTGGGAGCTTCAGCAGAAACCAGCTGGTTGGTTCTGTACGTCCCGAAAAGTCGTGGATGAAGTCTTCAAGAACCTACAAGAGAAGTCCAGCTGGTTTCTGCTGAAGCTCCTACGAGTAGAACAAAGGTTTGTTTGTTCAAGGACCGTCGGAAAGTTTAAATTCTGACTTTCTTCTGAGTTTGAAATCAGTCCGTTAACGTGTCGTTCGCCGCTTCAGTTTGATCGTCCTCCAGATTAGCTCCTCTGTGACTGACGCTGACGTTTTGCTGTTTTCTGAGTGAAGCTGGTCTTCAATCAGCACTTTTAATCCCAACAACTCGTCTCTGCAGCCTTGAATGTGTTCCAGCTGGCTCAGAGCTCAGCTTCAGCTCTGTGGCCTCCGACCAAGAAGCTCTGCTCTGCTTGGTGGAGCAGCAGTCGATCCGCAGGTCAGCGCCGCCTCCGCTGGTTCTTGTTGGTTCTTCTGCTTTCAGTGTTGGAGCTGTGGGCTGTTTGTGGTTTGCATTAGAAGAGTTTGAACCTCTCTGCCTCCTCCTGCTCGTCCTCGTCTGGCTTTTTGTCGTCGTGTTCTGGTTCTGCAGTGGGTTTGTCATGATATCACGGACTGAAGACGCGGTGTGTTGATTATAGTGCTAACATGTAAGTTATGCCAGTTTTATCATTTACTGTTGTACAGTCACCATGATGAAGCAGAATGAGGCTCGATTAATGCACCTGGAGAACGTCTTCCTGCAATTTTCCTTTTACTGCTTTTGTTCAGCAGTGATTTAGTTTAATTTGGATTTTTTGACAAGAATTCACAAAAAATCTCTTTCATGTCAAAGTGAAAACGGATTTCATGAGTAATTAAAACTACATAAATAAGTGACTGCATCAGTGTTCACCTCCTGTACAGTGACTCTAATGTCACTCAGCTGCAGCCAGGTGGTGCTACAAGTCCCACAGTCAATGAATGCATCATCTGAGCTCAGTGAATGTGTCTCAGTGATTGTAGTATAAAGACTCCTGGAAGGTCCAGTCCCTGGTGGATCAGAACTCCTGGACAGAACTACACCATGAAGACTGAAGAACCCTCCAAGAACTCTGTGGAAAGGTTGTTGAGAAGCATCAGAAGGAGACTAGTGAGGGAGGCCACCAAGACTCCTATGACTCCTCTGTGATGATGTGATCGGTTGAAATGTGAAATCGGTTTTCACTTTGACATGAAGGAGCCTTTTCTGGAGTAAATCTTTGTCAACAGTACCAAACTGATCGTGAGACGATGTGGAAAAGGACAAAACTTGAAAGAGGGTTAATTCTGTTCATGAGCTCTTCAGGAATAAAGAGTTTAAGATGAGGGGCAAATGTTTTATTTCTGTATTTGAAGGAGTTTATTCAGTTCTAGAAAGTGTTTGAGTGTGAAACACTGTGAGACCAGCATGTATGCAGAGTTTCTTCCTGTTGTTTCACTCCTGAACCTCCAACAGCTGTGTCGGTCCGTCCCTTTCTGGCTTTGACTGGCTTTGTGTCATGAATCCCTGATGTTGATAAATCAGGTGTGGTCCATGCTGACGCCCTGCTCGCTGCTCTCTGGTAGTCGTAGTTGAACTCTGATGCTTCGTTAACCAGCATCCTGGTCTTTTCTTCAGCCTGCAGCTGACAATCTTCTGGTCTCCAGGTTATTTGCCTGCAGCCTCACCTGAGACCTTAAACTCTTGCCGTGTGTGATTCCAGGTCGGACTGCAGGCGACGTGTTCAGGCGGCTCCACCGGCGATGGGATCGCGCCACCACCAGCTCCTGCTTCACTCGGCAAGTTTGCTCCCTTCACTCCCTTTGAAACGACGCTTCTTCCTTCAGGAACTTTGATTCAGAGACAGAAACGTTGGAGACAAACCGATAAGCCGCCGCGGAGCGTCTTCTAGCTGCAGATCAGCTCTACTGTCTGGTTCCACTTTAAGGGTTTGTTGGGAAGATGCTTCTAGTGTTTTATTTCATTAACTTTAAATGGTTGGTTACATCATCTAAACATGCATGAAGCTGTTTTTCTGGTTCTGCCGATTTGTTTTTGCCTTTAAACACTTAAACACAGCCTTCGACACACATTCACCTGTCAAATCAAATTAATGGTCAAATTAACTCTTCTTAAAAAAGCAAACCGAACTCTGTAACGGATGAACCGCCGTGACGACGAACTGAACAACCTCTGGCTCTGTGTTTGACTTGTGATGTGCTCCAAGACTGTCCACAATTATTTAAAATGTGTTCAAAGAATGACTCGGATTGGCTCAATGTGTTGATTTAGAATTTGTCCAAAATAGCTCAAAAAATTGCCCCAAAAGATTCAAACTTTGGACAAATTAAGAGTCTTTCTGGAAAACTTTGAGTCATTCAGGACAAATTTGTACGAAATTAACACAAAAATAAGACTTAAATCACGTAAACTTGTCCATAAGTTCTACGAATGTGTTCAAAGTGGGTCAAAAGGTGTCCAGAATCCTGTCGGGTCGCTTTAAACCAGAACCAAGCTGAGCAACCGTCGACTGAGAGAGTTCAGAGACAGTAGATACTGTAGTCGTCAGCAGGTCCGAGTGAAATCTGGTTCTGAAGCTTCCGTGTGTTTTCATGAAGGTCTGACGGATCTGCTCGTCTCTGGCTGAACCCTGACCTCTCCTGTTTCTCTGCAGGGTTCCTCTCAGACCCGTCGTGGTTCTTCTCCCGCTGCTGCTGCTCCTCTTCAGTAGGTTCACAGCGTTTGTTTCTCTGCAGCTCCATGAACTCGTGTGTTTGTGACTCCAGCTGCTTCTCCTGATGTTTCCTCTGTTTGCCTTTGAGTTCTGTGCTCCTCCTTTAAACTAGAACCAAGCACCTGCTGGTTTTAGGCAAATAATGAAGTCTTGGTTCTGCCCCGTCAGGCCTGTGTTGGTTCGGTCCAGCCGGTTTACGGTCGGTTCTTCCAGCCGTCAGAATCTCAGACTGGAGGACCGTCGTGTCTCCTCAGAGCCAATCAGAAGAGAGCGCTGTGGAGGAGTCGGGGGAGGTTCAGGTGTACGAGGAGCCGTCGACCGGTCGACCGCTGGAGGCTGAAGCGCCGCCGGGAGACGAGGTGAAGCACCGGACGGTCCAGATGGTCCAGATGTTCACGTCAGAGCAGCTCTGAGCGCAGCCACCGCTGTTTGATTGGTTGAAAGGAATTCACTAAAACTTGTCAAAATGGCTCTGAATGTTCCCAGAAAGGCTCAAACTGTCCAAGTAATTTAAAATCATCTAAACTCACTGAAAATCGTCCACGTTGACTCAAAAATCATCTGCAGTGACTCAGAAAATGTCCAAAAGGAGCTAAAATGATCCATAATGATTAATAATTGTCTAACATTAGTCAAAGGTTGTAAAAAAAACTCAAATTGTCCGAAATTACGATATTACACGAATATTCTAAACTTTCTAGAGAACAACTCAATTTTTAGAAATGGCTCCAATTTTGAATGTTTTTCACAAATTTCTGACTGATTTTAAATAATTCCGGATAATTAATTTGTAGCTAATTAATTTGTCCAAAACGAAGCAGAATTTGTTGGAAATTAAGTCAAAAGGACCCAAAATGAAAATGCGTCCAGAACTTTTCCAGACTGTTTCCTGACGGTGGTTCTGGTGCCGACAGGACTCGGTGGACTCTGAGCGTCTGGCCGGTCTGGAGCAGCGTCTAGCGGCTCTGTGGCGGCGCGTCGAGGCCGGAGGGCGACGAGCCGAACGGAGACACCGAGAAGTCCTGCAGCTCTACGGCGACCTGCAGCTTCGTCGTCTTCATCCTCGGCAGCAGAGCGACGCCGCGGAGACGTGGACCAGCGTCCTGATGGATCAGCAGCTGTCGCAGCTCCACCGCCGGCTGGATGAAGAGAGACTGCAGAGAGAGCAGGTGAGCAGCCGATCAGGTTCAGTTAGAATGTGGGAAAACCTCACCGCTTTATTCACTTTGTTCAAGATATTCTGAACTCTAACCTAAATCTGTTAA